AGTAAATGTAGTGCATGTTTATATCTCGGGAGGTAATGGTGATATTCGGCGCAGGACGCCTACCTATGTCGACGTGCGAGATCCTCCCTACCAGCGGGCCACCACCCCAGCCGGGACAAGCTCTACGCTCCCGACTGATCTCCTGACGTATACGGTAGTGTAGAGCATGTAACTAAGGGATGAGGGTGGGACAAGGAATGGGGAGAAAAGATCGCGCGCGGTACGTGGCCCGTTTGGTATTATACTGCTCCAGCATTCGCCTGGCGGTGATCGAAGAAATCACGAAAACTATCCATCAGGTCAGCAGGTCGCAAGAATCTTTCTGCAGACAGCGGCTGAATTCAACCAAGGACCTCCCGATCAGAGGCACTGAGCGAGTCTCCTAATGATATATTAACATTTTTATATTAATATTACTAAGCTCTAAAATGGCTTATTGTGGTACGGCAGCGAACTAGCTTCTTGTGGTACGATCCCAGGTTCCATTCACGGTCGGGGCAAAAATTGAAATGTTTCTATTCATTAAAAGCGTTACAGTTTCTGTAGGTGTGTGGCGAACTAAAGTTCTGGCCGGCGGAGTTTTCTAGTGAGGGTGAGGTAACGTTCGCCATATGTTTCTCTTGGCCCCATGCGTGGGAATTACCCTAGACCCTGTCATGCGAAACACCCCTTATCTAGCTGGCAAAGTCGAACAATCGAACCAAAATACCAAATACGTATATACATTAATATTACTGAATTATTTGCAACCAAATAGTAAAGTGATTATACATAACTTTCACTCTAATTGTCCAGTTACCAGAGTTATATTTGCATTGCACTGATCAGGAGCTACAGTTTCGAAATTTGACATTTATCTTCTGTAATCAATAGTGCAAATCAATTGATGATCGTTTTATTAAATACTGTTGTTTTAACAAGTAAACGAATTTTTAGTTGAAGTTTCATAAAGAACCCATTGAATCATGTGTATTTAAATTAATATCATAAACACCCCCATATGATGGGGCTCATTTAACTCTTTCAATCGTTCTAGATGAAGGTTTAGAGTACAAATTAAATAAAAATATTTGAATTACACATCATATTTCAGACATCTTAACCTTCTCAAAATTGTCAAAAAAATTGCGTTTCATTTCTTGACCGTCAGAATTTTAAAATTATTCTGCAGCGTTCTTTTATATTTCCCCATAAAATTGATTATTTTTCATGGACCATTGAGTCTAACCCTGAAAAACACTGCCTTTCAAATTTGTTTTCTTTTGATCGTAACAACAGGCAAACGACAAAATTATTATCAAACAATTACTAATGTATAATGTCACACTTTTAACATTAATGTCTTTGTGCTTGACTAAACACTTGATTTTGTTGACAAAATACGTCCCAACACAACCTATATCTTGCATGACTGACTTTCATTCTAGTCTCAATATCTGCAGTTGAAGAAATAGAACGCACGAGAAACGACGGCTGGGGTGCTACGAGCAAAGACATTAAATTATTGCTACACAAAGCGAATTATTTTTATTTATGTATTTTTTTAAAATATACAAAAAAATATACAAAAAATAGTGTTTGAATTAGGACCTCAGTCGCAAATAACATACGCCATTGGTTCCCTGAGCCCTCAACAAATCTCCACGCGCGAAGTTTCATCGTCCGCACTTGGAGCAGGCGTCGTCTCCACACGCCGTTCTCTTGCTTACTCGCCTCAATTTCACGTCGGATGGACACATAGCAGTCTCTTCATCCTTCCGAGTATAGCACCACGTTCAATGAATTTTTTTTTGA